AGACAACCCCGTAACAATATGCGTTTTGTACTGCTGTTACACAGCACAAAACGCATAAAAAATCACCTGGATTTTGAGCGAGCAGTACGTCGTCCAGTAGAACGGGAGCGCCTTTCCACACGTTTATCCCGAGTTTCCTGTTCATTTTCGTTACGATGCGACCGTGAACTGCTTCTGTGCTTCTCATCTCGAGACCTCGACGAACTACGGCGTGTTTTCCGGTCACGTGAGGTAGAATCCTGTTCCGTTTTCTTCTCGTGTATGCTACGTTTTGTATCTCGGGATGACTGCGAAAGACCCTGGTCCGAATCGTTTCGTCTTCTCGAATCTGGCTCGCTTTCTTTTTTTCTTCCTGGATCGCTTCTTCGGTCAGAGGACGAATGCTTTTCGCCGTTTTCCGCCTTTGTAGTAGTACCGGAGCTCTCGTCGGACTTCACTTTCTCAAGTTTTGAGTCTTTTTTCCTCTCTTCGTTTCTGGCTTTTAGCTCCGATTCAGTTTTCTTCGCGTCCCCTTTTTCATCCGTCGTTTTTCCTACTTTTTTATCGGTGGCCTCGGACTGTCCGCTTTTTTTGTCGCGCTGTTCCTCGTCCCTCAAAACCAACTCAATTTCCTCTCTTCTCTTTTTGGCTAATTCATATTCGGCTGAGTGTCGCGATCGTTGTTCCAGCGGATAAACGCGTTTTCGCTTTAATTCAAACGAAGCAATCCGAAACTTGTCTTTTATGGATTTCTCATCCGTTAGTGTTTTTTTGGTTTCCTCAACTTTTAGCGACATTCGTTTGTTTGCACCCTCACCCGATCCTCTGTGTTCCTCCTTCACATGCTCTCTTTCATGCTTTTCTCGACGCTTCTCCATACTTTCGATGGCCTGGCGTTCTACTTTTGCACTTTCCTCCTTGCGCTTTTGGTCCTCTTGTTCTTCATCAGATTCCTCATCCCACTTTCCTTTATATTCTTTTTCTAGCATACCTGAGGAGCTATTACTGCCAGCATCTGAGAGGGTGCCATTTCGTTCAGCGATCGTACCTGTAAAAAACACTAAACAGTTTTTAAGGTAAATGACATATGCCCAGGCATCAAAGATCAAAAAAGTCGAAAAAAAAAAACGATAATTTCGTGGATCCTGCACAAAAAATTTCACTGTGCGCTGTATCTGCATAAGCTCATTATACATAAACATATAATGTAATGTAATGGTTTATTTCTTGAGACAGGCTACAAACTTCTTACGCGCAATTAATAACCAAAATAAACTGGACTGGAGGGATAAAATAAAAAACTTTTTCCCTTTTGTGGGAAGCCAAAAAAGCCCTTTTCCACGATTTCAACTGAAATAGCACAACAGAGGGATTGGATTTAAGTGTCACATGTAAGAAGACATTTTACGATGCAGTGTCTCTGTGTTTCATCCCTTAGCTGCAAACACAGGCCGAACAATGCGTGTTGGTAGGAGTGGGAATCGTCAGTACAGCCTCCTACTCGCCGTGTACTGAACAGTCATGTGACTAATTTGCAAGACGGATATGCGAAAGAAAGAGAAATCAGAGAAGGAGAGAGCAAACAGAGTGAGAGAGAGGAGAGAAATCAGACACAGGCCCAGAAAGAGCTTTTGAAGGGGTGCAGTAAAAAGTGGCTACGTGCAGTTTCGAAGTCCTATACAGCGCTACCCAGCGAAAATCAGTACAACCTTACTAGCTGTTTTTCTAATTTCTACGTTCTTTTCTGCTAAAGTTTTCACAAACCAAAGGTAATACTGTACGTGTTCATACGCCAGGCCCGCATATATTCAGGCATTTCGCCTTTATGTACTGTTTTACGCTGTACAAAAACGTAAAAAAATAAGCATAAAAGTGAAATCCAATTATCGAAATTAGGCGTACCTTTGTTCTTCTGCTCAAGCTCTCTCCTCAGTTTCTGTTCCAGTGCTTTCTTTCGTTTCTCCAGTTCTTCGAGATCCGCTTCGCTAAGCTCCCTGCAGAGCTCTTTTTTCTTCCTCTTCTCCTTCTTTGCTTTTTTTGCCTGTAAAAGCCGTCATATGATACGACGTGTTCAGATTGCATAATAAAAGCAGTCCCCTTCAATCCCCTTACTCCAACGTTGCCTCTTAATTTCGCCGAGTCAAGTCGAGCCGAGTTTTAGTAATCGCCTTTTTCTAATGATAAAGTCGAAACAAACTAATGGCGGTTTTGGTTCTTTGACATGCCAGTGCCAAAATTTATCACGGGGATCGACTGTTCTAATTGCGGATTAATAAAATGCGGCTGGCAGAAGGCCAAATCGTAATATTAAAGCAAGTGGACGGCCCAAAGAAAACAAAATGTGGAGCGGCTGGAATCAGAAAGTTTAAACCACAGGTGGCATAAATTTGCCAAAATAGTATAAGATCGTTAGTAGGCCGAATCGTAGTCTTTAAAACAAATGGACGGTTTGAAGTATGCAAAATTTGAAATGGCCATAGTCCGAAAATTTTAGCCTGCGGTGGGTTAGTTTAATAAGTTATGATGGAAAAGATAGTAGGGCTGTTCATGTGGCACAAAACCGTATGACATGTTGAAGGATCTGAGGAAAAGGAATATTCAACTCTTTCATTCTTTGTTCATATTTCCTCCAAAATCTTAAATATGTAGAAAAAGGTCTGCCTGAGCCCGGCTTCTAACAACAGCTGCGCTCGTTGCCTAACAATCGACATGCATTAATAAGGGAGGGTTTTTTCTGCATTTTGAAATATCTTGTCACAATCGTTGAGAAGTACAGATCTGAGCAAAATTAACATAAATTAGACCTTTTTTTCTTTCTTTTTTTTATGTCGATGCTTTTTATGTTTCCGTTTTTCGTCTTCGTCGCTACTGGAACCATGACTGTGCTTATGCTTGCGTTTCTTTTTTGCCTTTTTTCCACTATCACTGTCATCATCACCATGATCGCTTCGCAATGCCGTTTCCTCGTTATTTTCCCATGTCTGCGGCGGAGGCGGCAATTCTTTTGAGAGAATGGCTTCTGTATCCATTACTTCAGCCATCTGATAAAGAAATACATTAAAATTAGATGCCTTTTTTTGTGTGAACTAAGCACATCTACAATTATCATAGCGTCAAGTACAAAATAAATAGCAACGCGCACCAGACTAGCCGGTGCGATCATGCGTTTTGTGCAATTCAGCCCATCGACATAATAAATAGCAACGCACACCAGACTAGCCGGTGCGATCATGCGTTTTGTGCAATTCAGCCCATCGAACGATTGCTAACGCGCACCAGACTAGCCGGTGTGATCATGCGTTTTGTGCAATTCAGCCCATCGAACGATTGCCTAATTTTCACTGCTTTGTACTTTAGTCTATGCAAAAATAGTTCAAACATAAAGAAGACCAGACAAAAATTTCACGCACCAGCGTATGAAAACTGAATTCGAAACCTTGAAGGATGAATATCTTTTCGTGAGAATTTCACGCACCAGCGTATGAAAGCTGAATTCGAAACCTTGAAGGATGAATATCTTTCCGTGATTTTTAAAAATTTCACGCACCTGCGTATGAAAGCTGAATTCGAAATCTTGAAGGATGAATATCTTTCCGTGATTCCCGAGTTAATAGTTTACCCGCCAAAATTCTCACGAGGCCGTAGGTGGTACTCGAGAGCGCGAGAACGCTGAATTTGAACGGACGGGGATGGGCGTGGGCCGGGGGGTCATTATCCTAAAACTTCAGCCTCCTAGACTCCGTGGTTCCCGAGATATTAAATTACCCGTGAAAAACTTTCATGAGGCCGTACGCGTTACCCGCGGGTACGGGGAAGCTGAATTTAAATCTGCGGGGTCACACGTGGGTGG